AGGGTTGAAAACCAGTGTCTGTTTCCTTCACCCCTTTGCAAAGAACACAAATTTATGACCTAGGGGTGCATATCGCTAAGTTTATGGGCAACTCACACTTGTCAGTTCCAAAATCCTACAGGGCCTGACATTGGTTTCATTTGCAAACTTGAGGAAAACTGGCTTTGGACTTAGAAAGGCTCTGTGATCTTGGGCAAGTGATTTAACTGCTTTGGCTTTGGTTTTGTCCACCCATGAAAATGAGATGATACTAGCGCCTACCTCACGCAGTTTTTATGAGGATGAAACAAGTTAATATTTGAAGTGTTCAGAACAGTTCCTGCCACAGAGTAAGCAGAGAAGTGTTTGTTAAATGCAATAAAGAAAGGAATTCAGCTTAGGACAGGGCGTTAGAGCTGAGGTGTCTGAGCCAGGCGGATGTGGGGAGCCAGGGTGGGTTCTGCCACCTGCTCGCTGTGTGGCTTCGGGCAGTTACTTCCGTCTCTGGTGCTCAGTCACTGCTCAAATGCGGGTAATAATCGTTCCTCCCTCTTAGGACTAGGTGGGGTTGAAATGAGATCGTGCACACAGCATTCTTGGCACAGACCTCCAAAATAAATGTTCACGTGCGTGTGTGCATGCTCAGTCGTGTCCGAGTCTTTGTGACCCCATGGACTGTAGCCCGCCAGGCTCTTCTGTCCATGGGATTTTCCAGGCAAGAACCCTGGAGTAGTTGTCATTTCCTCCTCCAGGGGATCTTCCTGACCCAGGGATCAAACTTGTGTCTCCTGCCTTGGCAGGCAGATTCTTCACCACTGGCGCCACCTGCACTATTATTCCCCAACTGGAGCCCTAGGTGAGTTGGCCAAATGAAAACTCACAAAAGCAGATTTGCAAAGAGACAACCTTGCAATTCCAACCCCTTGCCCTTCTCCTGCAGGTTGCAGAGTGTCCACTGTGTCACGAGGTTCCCTGAGGGGCAGGAAGAACTTGGGTCCATCTAGACAGCAGTTCTGGGCTGCAGATAATATTGGCTTCATTGTATAGATGTGGATCCTGAGTCTTGGTGACTTCCCCAGGCGACCGAAGCACGCAGTGGCAAGGACAGCATTTGAGCCTGTGTCTGCCTCCCCACCAGTCCTTGGCCAGCCCCGGGCAGCGCTGGAATCAGACAGACTGGGTCCGAATCCACTTTGCCTTTTGCCAGCCGTGTGACAGACTGTGTCTCACTGCTCTCCTATTGCCTGCAAATTCCTCATCTGTAAACTACGAAGAACAGTCACAGCCACGCTCGGGGCAGTTGGTGAAGATTAAGTGAACCAGATCCCAGGGAGCTTGGCGCTCCTGCCTGGGGCACAGGAGGCCCTGAACGGAGGTCTGCCGTGGTTAATGTGTTGCCATTGGTGCTGCTCTCATGATTCATCTGGAAACACTCCAAGTTTCCAAAGGAAGACAGAGGAGAGAATTTTTGAAAACCAGAACCTATAGTTTTCCCCGCCCTCTCATGTTATCATTTATTGCTGCCGATTTCCTGGGAATTCTGTTTTTTCCTAAGTTACAGTGTGCAAACTCTCGTAAAAGGACACTGCCTTGTTTAAAAGCCATGAACAGCTGGTTGCAGAGCATGTGTTATCTGGAGTTTCTCAAACAATCCCACACCCTTGCCACCAAGTTGCTGTTGGGAAGAGCAACTTGCCAGTCCTGGCAATTGCTCCTCCTAAAAGGCAAGTATGTCGGCACTGGATCTTCCCCTCCACCGACTGTCTTCTCCTGTGTCTTTGGAACGTTATGGCCAAGGCCAGAATCCACGAGCCCTCCAGGGATGCATCGGTCAGGGTCAGAAGGGACCAGGTGGCATGCTCAGATGAGGACGATTCAGGGGAACTTTATCTCCCGAGAGATTCATCCCCAAGGTGTGGGTGGGTCTCAGCCTGGAAACCCAAGGGGTAGCAGCCCTGGACCCAGAAAGAAAGAGATGGCAGGAGAAAGCTGGTGGCTTTAAGAAGAACAGCGACTTCCTCTTGAGGGACAAGGCCAACCTGAGGTCACCTCATCTGTTCCTTGTCTCTAATTCACACGCGTGAATCCCACTGGTGAAACTCAGCAGGGCACCAAGGCACACGCAGCACTGCGTCTGCCGTGTGTGGACATCACGCACACAGGCTGGCCTGGGGGGCAGCGTGCGGGGGGAGGGGTGGAAATGGAGGAAATGCCCTGGGAGAGGTAAGGCTCCTGAGGTGCCTGGACGAGACGCTTCTGGAGAAGCTCGTCCTAAAGACCAGCGGTGTCACGGATCAGCTATTGGGCTAGTGATGGAAGGTGCCAATTAAAGTCGGGCAGGTCTTTTAAAACAAGAATATCAAGCTGCATTCCAGTCCACAAACCACCATATCTGTTTCAGGGTAGTATATTTCAAAGCCCAGATAACAGAATGATTGACTAAAGCAAAATAGATCTTGCTATCCACCTCTGAATTACTTTTCCTCCATTGCCTCTGTAAATAAATGGTTCTTTTATTGCACACACAGAGCCTAGAAAACACGCGCAGATGCCCTCTGCATCCAAGGGCTCATGGAAGTCGGTTATTTCATGGTCTGGGGGCTTCCTTTATTTCTTCCCGTTGGAATTGACATTTATAGGATTTGATTACGTTTGTCCCCATACCTGCTGACACTAGTGGTACCTGTTAGTGATCACCGACACAAACGATAAATAATTCAGTAAACTATCGGATCAAGGGCCTCCAGGTGGTACCAGTGGCAGAGAATCTGCCTGTCCGTGCAGGAGATGAGCGGGATGTGGCTTCATCCCTGGGTCCGGAAGATGCCCTGGAGGAGGGCACGGCAGCCCACTCCAGTGTTGGGGCCTGGGGGCTCCAGTGTTGGGGCCTGGGGGGCTACAGTCCATAAAGGCGCAAAGGGCCGAGCGTGACTGAAGCGACTTAGCCCGCACATCGGGATCAAAATAAAGGGAGTTGTTGCTTCAGTGAAAATCTAGTTAAATTTCTTCAGGGGGGAAAAAAAAAGCCTTAGCAAAAGACAGCTTAAAAGAAAACTGCTTGTCAAATTAGTTGTGAACAAGGCAACTTGTTCATAAGGGCATGAACAAGTGAATGATAAGGCAAAGCCTTGTGAATGATAAGGACAAAACAAGAATCTGGAAGGATCTATTTGTAATTTATGGTTGTCAATCTCAGATTTCCCCGTGGTCCTCAATTCAAGCTAACAGCTAGACTTCAGATATTCTTGCCTTGAGGGTTTTTTTTTTAAGAGCAGAAGCTTCTGCTGTGAAGTCACTTGCTAAAGCTTTAATAATTTCCTGGAATCTCCAACAGCCCTTTCCTTTCATCCAAAGACTTTTCTTATTCCTCTCTCCCTTTTGAACCTCAGAGTCGCCTGGAAAAATTTCTTCATTTGTCTCTTAACATCAAGGATGGGACTTGATAATGGGGCTTCAAAGGTCACAAGCCCTTCACTTCTGACCGTTTCTGCTTTTTACCAAAATTGAGGCAGCTGAACTCACAGCAGCCCATATCTCTGCTCAGCTGCAACCTTCTGCACTTGCCAGGCTATATTTGAGACTTTTTCTTTCCACGCCCATCTCTCCACTAGACCGCGAGCCCCGTGAGGGTTGGGACTGTGTCTCAGGCATCCTGACACCCCACCCGCCATCTCCCAGGATCCTCAGGAATACAAATGCTTGTGGGATAATCTTAAAAGTTTGTGAAGAGTGTTATCAGAGGCACAAAGGGGTCCAAAGACTTTGCATTTCTAGGTAATAACATAGGACCCCAACTCTTCAAACCTGAAGAAGCTGTGGGGACCAAGCTTCTGGAAGATCTAGTCTGAAAAATTCAGCAAAGGCAGAAAAGATTAAACACTGTTAAGTCAAGGAAGCTGGTACTCTAAAGTTTGTTCAGATTTTTCTAATGACTTATTTCTCCCTTTTGCCTGAATGATTCATGTTTCTGTAGGAAACAGTTTTATCCACAAGTAGCAGAATGTCCAATAAACAGTGGTTTAGACCCTAAGTACACGTGTTTATGACTTGGGTACACAAATTTGCAGCTACAGGAATGATACTGCTTCAATAAAGTCATCAAGGGAAGTTTGACTTTCCATTGAACTGTCCTTGAAATGCTGACTTTCACCCCCGGGCTATCTTACGGTTACGCTGATCTGAACATCACCTGCGTGGAAGCTTCCTAGGTAGGACAGGGCATCATCTTTGTGCGGCTTTTTCAGGCTCAGTTCAGTTCAGTCGCTCAGTCGTGTCCGACTCTCTGCGACCCCATGCACTGCAGCACACCAGGCCTCCCTGTCCATCACCAACTCCCGGAGTTTACTCAAACTCATGTCTATCGAGTCGGTGATGCCATCCAACCATCTCATCCTCTGTCGTCCCCCTCTCCTCCCGCCTTCAATCTTTCCCAGCATCAGGGTCTTTTCCAAGGAGTCAGTTCTTTGCATCAGGTGGCCAAAGTATTGGAGTTTCAGCTTCAACATCAGTCCTTCCAATGAATGTTCAGACTCAGGGAGAAAACTATTTCCAAGAGCCCCTCACCTGCAGACAAATCACTGGCAAATTGTAATGCGTTGCCACGTGTGGTGACTGGCTTGAGGCAAGCATGGTTCCCTCCCTAGGGCTGGAGGTGCTGCTGTCTGGAAAAATAAACAGGTTTCTGTTTGCAAAGAGGTGGGGAACCAACAGTGTCTGTGAAAGTGATGTGTTTCCATGGCACACCTCAAACACTGAGACACACACACATCTGGGAAGAACAAACACACACACACTCCTCCCTACTCTATGTGCTACATTCTATTTCAATTATATTCTACTGCATTTTATCATGGTCCACTTAAAAAAATGTTTCTGGTGAGCCACAACATTGATTTTAGGAATCATTAGTAGAATGAGTTCTTTTCCTCAGTTGACAGAAGGTATGTTCAGGGAAGCTCGGGCAGGTTACAGAAAAGGCCTGAAGAAACGCAGGCAATCAGAGCAAAACCAGAAATACACCAATGCCTTCTCCGAGGTCCGGGAGCATCCCTCACCACGCCTGCAGGCTCCGCGGTTCCCCAGCAACTAAGCTGGGGTAAGTCCCGGGTGAGGCTGCGAGGAGGAACTTTGTATTATTCTCAGGCTACTCAAGTAATTCAACCTGTATCCGGGGTAAGCCTGGAGTCGGGGGGAGGCTCTGGCTTGTCCTGTTTTTCTGGGGTTGAGAGTGCCTGGGCAGCTGCAATGTTAGGGAGCCTGGCGAGCTGCCTCCCCCGGGGCGCGGAGGCTGACATGGCTCGGCAACCCACCACCACCAGCGGGACTGCAGCTGTGTTCATTCGCCGGGGCATTTCTAACCAGAGAAGATCAAATAATACGGACAAGCAGAGGCACAGAGCATGGTGTTAAATCAGACGTGTGCGCAAAACAGTGTTCTTTCAGTTGCACTATCGTCTCCCTCTTCCTCCGGCGGGCTGGCAAGTCTGGAATTCCCCTGCATAGGCGGCTGTGGGCAGGAAAGAAGTGGGCTGTGCTCTCCCGGTTTCGACGGGAACCACCCGTTTCACCCAACCTTCCCTCCACCACAGAACAAGGCCCCCACCTGAACGGGGTCTGGAGCTGGACTCTGAGTCTGCTTTACTAATTCCAGCTTTCGGTTTGTGTAGTCACTTAAACACTCTGGGTCATAAGGCCCTCTCTAAATTGGAGAGCTGCTTTATTTTTACATTTACAGCATAAGCAGCTCAAAGAATACGGTCAAATTGAATTTCCTTCTCCTGAAAAGATGGATGAATTTATGAATTCTAAGTGGGTTCTCCGTGCAAACAATTTATTCTTGAAGTCATGACTGTCCTCCATGAATCACAGAGGAGACCATCCTCAGTCAGATAACAGTCCATTTCCTTTTCAGGACGCAGCATTAAGAATTCATGACTTGTTTATTTCCTGATGTGGAAAAAGGATGCACCTTTTCAACCGCAGAAACTCCCAAGCTACATATTTAGAAAATAAAAATGAAAAATCTCCTACTAATTTCAAGATTTGGAAAGGCCCTTCTGCCTACTGAGTCCTGTAAACACTGTAGGGAATTCATGAGAATGACTTTTTCATAAGCCTCGGCGTGTCCACCTGTAACAAGTCCCTCTTCCAAAGAAAGGTCTATATTCTTAAAGAAAACGATGAAATGCCACATTTATGACTAGGCTTGAGATTCACGGTTCTTCGTTTTTGAAAAGCTGCAATGTGATGCCTCCTAGGAGCAGTGCTGACAGCTCTCTGTGATAGTCGGCACTGACTGGTACTTGCTATGAATGGGTGCATGGTGGTTGCTTCAGTCGTGTCCAACTCCATGGGACCCCGTGGACTGCAGCCCACCAGGCTCCTCTGTCCATGGGATTCTGCAGGCAAGAGCCCTGGAGTGGGCTGCCGTGCTCTCCTCCAGGGGATCTTCCCCACCCGGGGATCGAACCCGTGTCTCTTACGTCTGCCTGAACTGGCAGGTAGGTTCTTTACCACTAGTGCCACCTGGGAAGTCCCCTGTGAATGGGGGATCTTGTCAAATTCTGGATTATATCATTTAATCCCAATAACTATGAGATGAGAAACAATAATCCCGCTTTTCAGATGACGAAACAGGTTCAGTAATGTTAGTCACCAGCCCCTATCACATGAACGCAGGTGTCACTGCCAGGAGAAGAATCAGGTCCCAGGGCTCCTGAGGACTCAGGCATGTCCCCCGGATATGATGGGATGGACAGAAAGATGCTTCTCAGCTTTACAGAAATGAATTCTGTGTATTCTAAACGACTAAAACAATAGCTGTATCAAGTAACGCCACACACATGCTTTGACAGATACTACTTTGGACAAGGACAAATGAAAATAGGTTACAGGAAAATCACTACCTGAATAATCATCCAGCTAGTGCATGTCAAAAATTTTAATAGCTTGAATGGCTACAAAATAATGCTTTAAAAGGTAGAGGAGAATGTGGTGGTCCCTAGATCATATTTTTAATGAGTTGTTATTCCTAGAATCATATATAACCAGAGCCCCTAACTGTCCCAAACCGGGGGTCTAGTCACGATCCTGCTTTCCCCGCGGGACGCCACCTCGTGCGCGAGATGTGGCAGCGCCCGCTCGAGGGTGGACGGCTAAAGAAGCTCGAGTGGCCCTGCTGACCCGGCACTAAGCAGCTCTGCGGCCTCAGGCGAGTCGGCTCACCTCTGTGCCCGTGGTGGTGGTTTTCTGTTTATAAAACGAAAGGGATGGAAAAGTTTGTGCCTGAAGCATATTCCAGGGCGACTTTACTGGGAGGGGTGAGTTAAATAACCTAAACATATTTGTTGGGTGTTTTACTCCCACTCCAGTATTCTGGCCTGGAGAATTCCGTGAACTGTATAGTCCATGGGGCCTCAAAGAGTAAGCGGCGTTCCCTTACTTCCTCCAGCTGTTTTTTGGGAGGGAGCATAGAATGGAGATTTAGGGCAGGCAACTAGGGGGGCACATTACTTGGTTTGAATTCTGTCTCCACCACTTTTTGCTCAGTGACTTTAAGCTAGTTCCTTAAATTCCCTGCACCTGGCTCCTACAGGAAGCTCAGCAACAATACAGGTCATAAACAAGCACTGCTGAAGCACGGATGCTTTGCACCATACAAGTGTTACTTAGCTATCGCTTCTTTGATTTTTATGTGCCTGGCACCATTTAGGTATCAACTAAGGGCCGACTTCTTAACTACATAACTCATGTTTATGTCCTAAATAAAGGCGAGGAGGGTGGTGGTTACTGTCTCCCGTACTAATGTGCTTGCCAAGGTTCATTTGCAGTGAGCCCTTTTCAAGTAGGACGACATCTTTTGCACTTCCTAAGATCACCAGCAGGTGGTAGACTTAGATTGTATTTTAGATGGTCAGGGCCTAGGGCGCCTTCAGCTGGGGGCTTTGTGAAATGATAAATATTTGTCTTTTTTAATCAACACCTTGAGTCATTAGCATCTAGAATAAATAACACCTCCTGGTGTTAATGCTGCTGATACTGCTGCTCAGTCGCTCAGTCGCGTCCGACTCTTTGTGACCCCACGGACTGTGGCCCACCAGGCTCCTCTGTCCATGGGATTCTCCAGGCAAGAACACTGGAGTGGGTTGCCATGCCCTCCGCCAGGGATCAAACCTGCATCTCTTACGTCTCTTGCATTGACAGGCAGGTTCTTTACCACTAGCGTCACCTGGGAAGCCCCCACTTAATGCTATAAAATAGCGAAGAAAAAGCTCTAATTAAGAGCTCTGGTTCTCAAAATGTCAGGCATCATTTGTAGCACCTGGAGGCCTTGTTAGAAAGGCACGTTCTCCAGCGGGGCTGGAAAGCTGGGTGTGGGGGTGTTTGGGTCCAGTGATCTGTGATTTGCATGAACTTGGGTAGGAGACTGTCCCTGCCAGGACGATGCCCAGGCCGGCCAGGTCTTGGTTCTGACTCCGAAGCTGCGTAGGTCAAGACGGGACATTTGCTGAGCCCAGGAACCAGCAGTTTGGACCGCAACGTGTCAGCTGTTAGCCGTGCGGTCTCAGGGCCCAGGCAGACACGGGACCGGGGTCTGCACGTTACCCGGCCCCAGAGGCCCCGCACAGCCGCCGTCTCTTTCCTTTTCCCTCGCCGCCCCCTCCTCTGCCTTGGCAGGCCCCACTTCTTACCTTTTTCTGCAGCGATTCTGACCGGGAAGCCATGACCCCAGACCCCACCCCGTCGTGCTAGCTGTCAGGAAAGGGAAGTACGGAGAACAGAGGAAAGAGCCCTTGCGGCTTCTGTTAGGGGAAACGCGCTGACGGAGACCACCGCAGTGAGAAGCCCGCCCACCGCCGCCCAAGCGTCAGCCGCGTGCCGCCCCGAGAGCGGCGCCTGCGCGGCGTGAGACCCCGCGGCCAAAAGCAACGAACAGACCAGTCGGGGCGAGGCTGTAACAGCAGAGGATGCAGGCGGACGCCTTGTCAGTCTGTCGCTGTCACTTTAACTTGGCTCTCCGTAGCTTTTGTTGTTATAATTTCTGAGTGGATGCTGTCTGTAGCTGTGAGCATACACCATGGCCTGTCTGCCGAAATGTTAAACTGAAGTGCCTTTATTCAGCTCCGGGGAGACCTTCTGACCCTCCCACCTGTGAACAGATGCAGCGAAGCAAAAAATGAACACATCCCCTCCTGATGCTGGCCAAGCAAGGAGATACTCCGCAAGACTTGCGGGCTCTTTACTTCCTCACCTCCTCCCTGCCTCTGTTCTATAAAGGATCCTAGCATCCAGACCCCCATAAGGTGGTAGTTCAGGACCCTCGCCCACCGTCTTCTCAGAGGCCTGGTCTTCCAAATAAAGTCGCTATTCCATGCCTCAGCACCTCATCTCCTGATTATGGGCCCGTCCTGTGGTGAGCAGACCCAACTTGGATTCAGTAACAAAACAGGATTGATCTAAATCATGATTCTTTTTTGGCAATGACAAGTTGTAGCAAATCGGGACCCCAAGAAGCAACAGATGGGTACAAAGTGATTTAGGAGGGGTTATTTAAAATAGAATAGTTATAGGGGTGTGAACATATGTGACTCCAAGGGATAGTGAAGCAATTATAGGCTAGCAGCGGCAGAGCTGTACCTTCCCTAGACCAAAGGCACGGGAGAGTCATCACAGAATTTAGGAGAGTCAGATTGGGGGGGGGGGTTCCCTGGTGGCACTAGCGGTAAAGAAGCCACCTGCCAACGCAGGAGATGCAAGAGACACAGGTTCGACCCTGGGTCAGGAAGACCCTCTGGGGAAGGAAATGCAACCCACTCCAGTATTCTTGCCTGGAGAATTCCGTGGACAGAGGAGCCTGGCGGGCTGCAGTCCCTGGCATTGCAATGAGTCGGATGTGACGGAGGCAACTTGTCATGCAAGTAGGGAGGACCCTCTTGAGAGGAGAGGAGTTCACAGTCAGCTGAGGGCACGCCCTGGGGAGACATCCTCTGGGGGGTTTCCCCCGTTTCCTCACTGTCTTTCCTCACAAGGGCCTTCTGCAGTGGTCCCCCATTGACTGAGACTGGTCAGGTGGTGCGGGGGACCTGAAGTCCTTATAGGCAGTCCTCACTGGTCGACACAGAATGTTGAAGAAAAGGTGAAGAGCCGGGGAAATGGAAAGCTTCTAGCTCAGGGGTCTGGGGATGGGGAGGTGACCCAGCCTGACCAGTGGGGCATATGGTTGGGAATGTCTGCTGAGTGCTTCCGAGGAATGGTCTTCTTCCCTGATTTTTACAGGAAGAAGCTCCCTGCTTGGGATGCTGTTGAGAGGGTGTGCATTCTGCAGCCAACTTGTATCTAGGAGGGGGATGTAAAGAGATTTGAAAGCAAGCCGGGGGTGAGGTCAGCAAGATAGAGAAGGAGTGGGCAGATGGGGAGGGTCTTGCTGGAATGTCTGCTGCCTCTGGCACATGGGATTTATCTCTTCCTCCTTTCTGCCTGGCCAGTTCCCGTCTGCTCCACACTGCAGCATCTATGTGGCCAAACTCAACTTCACATCTGTCTTCCCTGCTTGACTAAACTCCCTCATTACAGTAGAGAAATTTATGTAAAAATCTGGAATTCATTTTTAACAGTAGATTGTGTTTCTTGTACTGCTTTCTGGGACTAAGCCGCGTGGGCCCTGATTTAACGGGGTTTCACTGCACTGGTTCATCAGCACAGACCATAAGAGCCCAGTGTGTGGTTGACTCGCTGAGGTGCTGCTGGCTGGGCCATGTGATCCCAGACCTCGAGCTCTGCACAACGTGGACCGGGATCCAAACCTTAGGAGCCTTGCTGGCTAGCTGTTTCCTTAGGTACCTTACCTGACTTCTCTGAGCAAAAACCCTGATAAGTGAATATGAGGATTCACTGCGTTTAGGACGTGCGTGCGTGCATGCATGCTGAGTCACTTCAGTTGTGTCCAACTCTTTGTGACCCTATGGACTGTAGCCCACCAGGCTCCCCTCTCCATGGGATTCTTCAGGCAAAAATACTGGAGCGCATTACCATGCCCTCTTCTAGGGGATCTTCTGGACTCAGGGGATTGAAGCCACATCACTTGTGTCTCCAAGTGATGGAGACAGTCTCCACAACTGTCTGCATTGGCAGGTGGGTTCTTTACTCACGGAGCCTCCTGGGAAGCCGGTGTTTCATACATCACAGCACAAAAGCCCATTGACATCCCTCCACAAATATTTCCCTTTTCTCTACCTCCCTTTCCCTTCTCATTAAAGGAACAGCACAGCTCCAAGACAAACCCTGGAGATTACATAACTAATAAAATTAATAGCCCAACAGGAACAAAGATACAGAGAATGGGCCTGTGGAAACCACTGGGGAAGGAGAGGGTTGGAGAAGTTGAGGGGTGGCGTTGACATATATACACCGTGTGTGTGCCAAGTTGCTTCAGTCGTATCCGACTCTCTGTGACCCCATGGACTGTAGCCCCCCAGCCTCCTCTGTCCATGGGATTCTCCAGAGAAGAATACTGGAGTTGTTGCCATGCCCTCCCCCAGGGGGCCTCCCTGACCCAGGGACCGGACCCCTATCTCTTAGGTCTCCTGCATTGGCAGGTGGATTCCTTACCACCAGTGTCACCTGGGAAGGCCATCTACCCTACCATGTGTGAAACAGCTAGCTAGCGGAGAGCTGTCATGTAACACAGGGAGCCCAGCCTGGTGCTGTGTGTCGACCGAGAGGGATGGGATGGAACAGGGGTGGGAGGGAGGCTCAAGAGGGAGGCGATGAATGTGTGTGTGTGTGGTTATGGCTCTACTTATATAGCGCTATGGCGGATTAGCACTGTCGTATGGCAGAAATCAACACGACCCTGTAAAGCGATCATCCTCCAACTAAAATAAAAACACAAATTGTAAAAAATTAACAGCCGAAAAGCTGAGTGAAGTCTCACCCAAAGATGCAGATGTGATGAACGTGATGCTCTGTGTCCCAAGCTCCACGCTGAGTGAACTGAGACCACAGGGGACCGGTCTCCCGTGGAGTGAATTCACGGTGGCGCCAATCAGGTGGACAAGGTTAAACCGTGAGACTGAGCGGATTTTTGAACACCCCAGGCGGGCGGCGCCCGGAGACCCGGATCGGCGCGCACCGGGCGCTGAGCTTCGCCTCAACCCTCGGATGCTCCCGGACAGCCCCGCTCCGCAGGCGGGAGGCCGCGGGGGCGCTCGGGCTGAGCGCGCTCCAAGTCCGAGTCACGCCTCCCGAGGGCGTGACAGGTGGCGGGGCGGCCGGCCGCAGCTGGTCCAGACCGAGGCACCGAAGAGGCGCCCGCGTCCGCGGCGCCCACGGCAGAGGGGCCGGGGCGCTGTCGGCAGCAGCGGTGCGGGGTGCCGCGGGGGGAGGACCGCCAGGTGGCCCGGCGGAAACGGCGGCCGTTCACTGAAGGCCAGTCGTGTGCCAAGCATAGCACAAGCCGTGCCTCTTGCAGACAAGGAAACCGCATCTCAAAGAGCATCACTAACGTGCCTGAGGGCACATCACCAGGACGGGGTGGCCCCGGGGTGCGAGCCTGGCTCTGCCACCAAAACCGAGTCGCTTCCCCCGTGGGATGATACAAACCGGCCTGGAAGCTGCCCGTAGACGGCTCAGACAGCCCCTGCTGTGCTGGAGGAGTAGAACTTCAGAGCAAGGGCCCGGCTGTGCCTGTAGCTTCTGTGAGACCTTGAGCCTGGCTTACTCTGTCTCCGAGTCTTTCCAGCACCTGTAAACTGCGATGGCATTCTTTTTGTTTGGCAGGATAACGAATACTCATTAATAAAAATTGGAGAGTTTTGTCTCTTCTAGAGGCTTCCTTGGGAACACTTCTTACTCATCACTAATAAACAGGCTAAGTTAGTTTGCTGCCATATATAGAAGGACCACGGCTTTCAAAGAGGCCAGTGCCCACTCTGCTGGTTTTCTTATTAAACCTCTGTTAGTTCATCTATAAAATGGGGGTAATAACCACAGGCTATAAGAATTACAGTAATAACTTAAGCTATTTAACTCAGCACTTAATAGGTGCCAATATCATTGGGCTTCCCAGGTGGCGCTAGTGGTAAAGAATCCGCAGGCAATACAGGAGATGTAGGAGCCGTGGGTTCAATCCCTGGGTCGGGAAGATCCCCTGGAGAAGGAGACCCTCTCCAGTCTTCTTGCCTGGGAAATCCCATGAACAGAGGAGACTGGCAGACTGTATGGTCCATGGGGTTGCAAAAGCATTGGACACAACTTAGCCTCTAAACACCACCACCACCATTCGTGTAGGAGAGCAGGGGAAAGCATTTGACTGTAAGCACAGATGCTGAGATCTGTAAGAATGTGACTTGCTTTTTCCGGGCAGTGGGATGGTGGCAGGGTTAGGTAAGGAGCTCTTATCTTCCTGAAAGGGAAATGGATGGGATGACATAGAAAGGCTGCACCTTGCACTGGCGAGCTCCATCCTTCAGCTGCTCTCTTGCCTCTGGGTCTATCTCCTCGTGTGCAAAATAGTTTCTTTAGCTCAATGAGCCCTAAAGGGAACGAGGTCTGTGGGATGCTGGTCCCCAAGGATGGGCAGGGGGTCTTGACAGTGGAAGGATGCTGAGATCCAGTTAGTGAGGGACGTGAGAGCCAAGAAAATGAAACTGAGTTAAAGATCATTACAGATTTCCCAGAGCCTTTCATGTGCCAGTGCATGGTCTAAATCTCCAAGATGGGGTGTTTCCCAAACTCACTTAAAAGATGCTTTGAAACTATTTTACTCTGTCATCTCTGAAGCTGTTCTAGACCTGAAATCCTGTGATTCGAATATATTCGAATATCTTGTATACTGGCTAGTTCTTCAGAGGCCAGCAACATTTTTCTAATTATGATGTAAGGTTGTTGATGAAGCAAAACCTTTTTACCATTCCTCTCTGGAGGCCTAGGCGATTCTTCAGTCATTTCTCCTTCTTTTGAACTGGGGGTACACATTCAAGTGCATCGCTTGTTCCTGTGGATTTTAACAGTAGCGGTGCTCAGGATAACTGGTGAGGCTGGCTGTAGCCAGACCCAAAGTGAGCACCATCTTGCACAGATAAAGACACGCTGAGCTGAGACAGTGGCGGCCAGAATTATTTGGAGCCCTCAGAATGAGACACTTGTGACAGCGGAGGCCCCCAATGTTAGCTTTTCATGTTAATGTTAAGTTTATTCATAACGTTCTTAGACAGCAGAGTTACTAAACAGAAATAGTGAGAGCTAGTCATTGTTGGAGGGCTTTCCATGTGCTTGAGACTGTTCTGCGTTACCTGTGCTGTGTCATCAGATCCATCCTTACTAGACCAGTGTGATGATTTACCTGCTTTTTACAGGTGAGGAAATGGAAACAAAGAAATAAATTTTCTGAGGCCATGCAGCTTCGAGGGATGATCCAAACCCTCTGTTCACCAATTCCTTGCCGTATGGCTCTGGCCAAGTTGCTTAAGACTCTTGAGAGTCCCTTGGACAACAAGGAGATCCAACCAGTCCATCCTAAAGGAGATCAGTCCTGGGTGTTCATTGGAAGGACTGATGCTGAAGCTGAAACTCCAATACTTTGGCCACCTCATGCAAAGAGCTGACTCATTGGAAAAGACCCTGATGCTGGGAAGGATTGGGGGCAGGAGGAGAAGGGGACGACAGAGGATGAGATGGTTGGATGGCATCACCGACTTGATGGACATGAGTTTGAGTAAACTCTGGGAGTTGGTGATGGACAGGGAGGCCTGGCGTGCTGCGATTCATGGGGTCGCAAAGAGTCGGACACGACTGAGCGACTGAACTGGACTGAAGTGAATCAGAAAGCGCAAGTGCAGCCCAGTGTCCCAGCAGCTCAGGGACGTCCCGGGGGAGCCCTCGAGCAGAGCACGCGGACCTTGACTGCAGGGCGATGTGAGTGCATCAGAACTGGAAACAAACCGAAGGCCCAGCAGCCAGAGGATGGGGAAACAGATCGGGACAAAGTCATTCAAGGGAACCTCACACCAAAGCTAAAGTAGCTGAGCTGGAGGCCAGATGAACCGCATCAGCAAGGCAGGATCGCAAGAGCTAACTGTTGAATAAAGAGCAAATCACAGAAAGACACGTGAAGCCTGAAACCTAAAAACAGTTCCGTACATTATGAATATGTTCACAGGTGGTAATCATAAAACATGATTGGGAATAATGGATACCAAATTCAGGAGAGCCACTATTTCTGAGAAAAGAGGAAGGAGGGACTTGTCATTGTTTACGCGTTAAGTCATGTCCAGCTCTTTGTGGCCTGGTGAGCTGTAGCCCCCCAGGCTCCTCTGCCTGCGGGACTCTCCAGGCAAGAATACCAGAGCGGGGTGCCCTTTCCCCCTCCAGGGGATCCTCCCGACCCAGGGATGGAACCCACATCTTCTGCATTGCAAGCGGACTCTACCGCGGAGCCACTGGTGAAGCCCGAAAGGGAAACAGTTCAACTCTATCTGTATTACTTTATTTCTCAGAAAAGCCTTAGGGTCTAAACGACTCTAACGTTAAGATCTGACAAAGCTGTGTGGTTGAATGCTTTTCTGTATGCTTGAGATGTTTCATAATTTTAAAAATCATGTTTCATTACTTGTTTTGTCTGTTCTCTCTCCTCTTTCCTTGTGTCCTACAGATAAAAGTGTTGGGACTGTAAAACACGTTTATCACTTACGCTTAGACGTGCGTTTTTCAGAGCAGCAGTTTCCTCCAGCTGTGAAGGCTCTGTAAAAGGTTTTGGGTGGATGGATTTCAGTTCCGAGTGCTAGAACTTGTTTTCCGCTGGGCTCGGAGGAGAGGTCATGCAGTGCGCGCTGCGGTCGGGGTTGAGTTAATCATTGACTGTGGCTGCCCCGGGGCTGCGTCCCCTGCGAGCCTTCGGGCGGCAGGTGTCCTGCCGCCTCGGGGACCGCGCCGGGAGAAGGGCCGCAGGCCGGCCGGGTGGCCGAGCCCCCAGGCCGGGTCCACAGCGTCGCTGCCTCCCTGGGCCAGCAGTGTTTCCACCGCTCGCTGCAGCCAGTCCGCAGGAGGAGGAGACGCACAGAGGGAATCAGGCCTGGCGGAGTTACTCCTGACCTCCTGCGGGAGGTCAGGGAGGCCAAGAAGGTGTGCGACCTTCCGGTTAAAGTGTGACTTGACAACAGGGGCAAGTGAGGCATCAAGTTCATGGGTGAGGTCAGTGTCAACGGGGACAAACCTCACGGGTGACCACGGGCGTGTGTGTAAGTAAAGCGGCGCATTACAATACGTGTATTAAATCCAAAGCAGATAACGTTGTACTTGTACACATTATCTCGTAAGTTACAGACTCAGCACGCCCTGCGAAAGGTGAAATGTCTGACCCTGAACTGACTCAGCAAAGACGGGGAGGGCCAGTGTATTCCTCAAAGGGCTTATCTTCCCAGGAAGCCAGGTGGCACCTCAAAAACAGTCTACTCTTGTGGATGGTTTTGTGGTGGGTTGGGTTAAAAAATTGTTTTTGAATTTTACTGCGATAAGAACACTTCACGTGAGCTCTTCCCTCTGTTATCTCCAGACCCCATGGTGTACGGCACGTTCACAGAAGTTACTCATGTTAATGGACACGCCCTTCAGCGACTCTGTATCTGCCCCTCCTCAGCACCTGACCACCAGGATCCTATCCTTTGCTCTGCGAGCTGAGCTATGGTAGAGCTGTTCAGGGGGATGCTGCCTATATGGATCATGTAGGTGGGTATCTGTCCTTCTGTCATGGCTTCTTCCACTTAGCACAGTGTGCTCAAGGTTCACCCGTGTTTTTGCACTTCGCAGGATTTCCTTCTTTTTAAAGGCCAGATAGTATTCCGCTGTGTGTATATGTGGCATTTTCTTGGTCCATGCATTCATTCAGGCACTTTGGAAAAAAATTTCAACTTTCTATTTTGAAAATCTCAAACTGCAAACATGTTGGAAAAGGATGTTTCATGAACACCAGGAATGTCATTTTTACCTTTCACCCATGTTCTTCAGATTAACATTTTGCCACATTTACTGTTTCTATCTCTGGGATACACTGTGTATTATGTCGCATATACTGTGTACATTAATATAATGTGTGTTTGTGCTCCTCGTGTCTGACTCTTTGCGACTCCACAGACTGTAGCCTGCCAGGCTCCCCTGTCCATGGGATTATCCTGGCAAGAATACTGGAACAGGTTGCCATTTCCTTCTCCAGGGGATCTTCCTGACCCAAGGAATGAACCCACGTCTCTTGCACCTTCTGCACTGGCAGGCAGATTCTTTAGCACTGTGCCACATGGGAAGCCCGTAATATAGTATATGCATGTGTGCCAAGTCACTCAGTCATGTCCCACTCTTTGCGACAATTTGGACTGTAGCTCACCAGGCTCCTCTGTCCACGGGATACTCCAACCGAGAATACTGGAGTAAGTT